GGGATACTAAGAAGGAACTGTGTCAACGACGTTTCAAGGCCATGATCCATTCCAGTGAGCGATGCGAATGTTAACTTTGGAGCCCAGGATGGATCCAGGTCTTCTGCCCGAGACCCGAGGTCAGCCCGAGGGCCGAAACCTCGTCGAAAACCCAACCCTAACTCCCTGAAGGACCAAATGACCCTTAAAAGTAGGGGCCCTATACCCATATACTATGAATCCCTATATGGTATATGAACCTTAAACCCTTTTATGGTTCATTTCGTCCCTAACTCTTCTGGAACCCGGCATTGCGGCATAGAATCTTTCCAAGTCCCCTTGCGGAATCCGAAGCTCTCAGGTGGTGACCGGCAGGCAGCGCTGTAGCGGGGCTGAGATGATGCTCTAGTAGGGTTCTAAAATCCTAGACCATACTAAGGATTCAGAAAGCCAATCCGGGTGGTGTAGGGTTGAGGGCTTTGGGGTTATTGGTAGTCGGCTTGTAGAGGATTAGGGATTCTCACTATTGGTTTCTCTATCTAGTGGTTGAAAACGATAGCGCGACGGGTCCCCAATGTAGGCCTACAATATGGATCAGTGTTGATTTGGGTGTTTGTATGTACTGGGCATTTGTGGATATTTTGTAATGCTACAGAGAGGCTTCGGGGAGTTTACGACTCCGAATTTTCGGGTTTGATCCCAGCAGGATGTGGGTTTTCTTTTAGTGTCCGCGATACCGATACTGGCTGTCCCCTACCTGGAACCCCGTAGCGACTGCGCTACAGTGGAGTGCAAGCAATGAGCCCGACCTCTCTGCGTTGTCGGTCCTGTACTGAGTCCCCTCATGGCGCACCCGAAACCCTAAACCCCATATGGGTAGTTGTCAAAATTATGGTTCTTTTAGATCATAGTCGGACCCAAAAAGGGACCCTAATTTTGACAACCACCCATATCCGACACCCCGGGCAGGGCTCCGTTGGCCTGTCCCTGGAGCTGGAGCGCTTTCGCCAGGCTGCACATGGGCATTGTAGCAGAAGCAGAACAAAGCCAGAAGCCGTAAACCCCAAACCTTAGACCCTAAGCCCTAGACCCAAAGTAGAGCTTCCGGATCAGAGAGGTTTTAGGCGTTGGTCCTTCCCGTTCAGGGCGATCTCTAAGAATTCAGCACCTAGGGTTCAGCTCCCTTGTGCTGTTGAGGGTGGGGAGCTTACGAGACTTTGTAGTGGTGTCTATGGTTTGTGTGCATGTGTGTGTGTGTGTGCGCGTTGTTTTGTCTTGTGTGTGTGTGTGTGTGTGTTGGTCTCTGTGTGTGTGTGCTTATGCGTGTGAATGTGTGGGACCGCGGATGTCCCAGGTATAGCATCTAAGCCCTTGTCTACGTTTTGGGTTGAAAGCTTTTCGACTTCGGGTTTAGTAGCGGTCGGTATTGTTTTAGGATCTAGGGTGGTAGTTTCCATGCGCGGCCTGAACTCGCCTTGTCTTGGGGGCCGCGTACAGCGAAGTTCCTGCCGATTCTGATTGCCCGAAGCCATCAAGCAGGAAGCCTGAAAGCTGAAGTGCCATAGCCCCTGGTCCCTACCTTGGCTGTCGCTGTAATGGTCTTAAACAACACATATTATATATATATATATATATATATATATATATATATATCGGCGGACGATAAAAAAGATGTAATTGCGAATCATTCAGAACCTTACATGTCGAAGCTTCAAAAGCCCTTCCCAAGTTCTAACTTGAGGCTTTGGGTTCAGGCTGTCTGCCGGGCCAATAGGGTTTTGGGATCTTGAAAGTTGATAGAAGCTACGGTTTAGGGTTTAGGGGTTTAGGGTTTAGGGTTTTTAAAGTTCAGGAGCTTCAGGAATGTTCCGGGAACCTGCTGACGGCATATCATTTACTACGCATCTCTACTATGACCATTGTACAGACGTACGTATATACACTTACGCACCCGCTAGAATATGCACGAAGAAATTGCTCCGACCTTTAGTTCCGTACGTCGAACCTCCAACTTCTCCCGAATCCCTAAACCCTAAACCCCTAGACCCTAAACCCCTAAACCCCTAAAACCTAAAACCCTAAACCCTAATTGCATTTCTGACTCGCAGGCGTTCCGGGAGGAAGCTGGCACCTGCTCTGGGCTCAGGATGCTACAAGAAGACCGCTTTCGGAATCAGGGGATTCAGCCTGTAGGGTAGGGTTTACAGGGTTTAGGGTTTCGGATTAGGGGAACGCCAATATGGGGGTTTCCGAAAATCAGGGGTACCTTACTTTGGGATCCTTATGATAAGGATCCTACTATTTAGTGTACTGTATTTGGGTCCCACATTTCCGGAAGCCCCCTTGTGGCTATAGTGTTATATGGAGTTCCGTAAGGCGCCCGCAAGAATTATGTTCTGAAGCCTTCGGGCTTCTATTGGCTTTGGAACACCGTGCCCATGGAATCTTACGATCCCAAGCCTGGTGCTTAAACCCCAAACCCCGGAAAACATAATTAAACCCAAACAACCCTAAAGTTGTAAAACCCTGAAACCCCAACGAAAACAGTTTTCAAGGCCTGGAAACGCTGCGGGAGGCCATGCGCACGGCGGGCATTGCGCAGCTGCATCACCAGCAGCTTGGTTTGCAAGGATGTGAGCGTTCATCATCTGTATACAATCTATCCCTGGTCCGCTTATTTAAACTAACCAATCAGAAAATCTCCTGCTCCTGAATTTAAGGGTTCCGGGCTTTATGGGGTTTAACGGAGTAGTGGTTGGGCCGCTGGGAGTGCTTTCTTCAACGATGGAGCTGTCGGCTGATGTTGCACGTTGTGTCACGCAGTGTTTCTGTGCCGTCATCGCCGAAAATTGCAGGCTTATGTGTGGTTTGGGGCTTTGAAATTGAATGCTTCACAGCGGGAGTTCAAGGGAGTCGGGCTTCAGTGGGAGATTTCCATCTAGAGAAGTGAGGGCCATGTACCTAGGGTTCTGCATGGTGCAGGGTTCAAGATAATGATATTCTTTCATAGCCCCTTAATGGCTGTTATACTCATACAGTAATGTTCCCCCCCCCCAAGTCCTGTTCTAGTCATGAAGGCCCCGGTATTGCCGTTTCAGCAGGATCAACAGCTCGAGGGCGGTCGGTTGAGGGCCGAAGGCTGGATAATGTGGGGGTGTTAGCAATTACCTGTACTATTTTGGGTGGGTTCCTTATTATTATTATTATTATATATATATATATATATATAAATGTAGTATAATGGGCCCCAACACCTTGTTCTAATTATTAAGGCCCCTATAGATTATTACTACAAGGACTTTGAGGGCTTAGGCTTTCGGGTTGGAATATGGCTTCTTAACAGGGTCCCTTGTAAGGTCTACTATCGGGGTTTCTTTCGGAGATTTTTTGGTGCAGAGGGCAATGACCATTATTAGAGTAAGGATTGGGAGTATACAATGCTACAGCGATGATAAGGAACCCTAAGGAAGAATCTTTATTCAGTCACCTATGAGACGGGGGCTTTTCACTGAATCAATTTGTGAACCAGGTCAGTTGTTGAGGCGAGCTTGCAGCTTGGCAAATGTTGAAAAAATCCGAGCAGCTGAGCGCAGGTTCGCTGAGCAGCACAAGAACGACACAGCAGACATCCAGAAGCTAAGACACGTGGCAACAGAGCTCACAGAGCTGTTTCCTGGGTTTGATGGCTTTTGGCGAGGTTTGTCTAGGGTTTCTATTTTGTGAGGCGGTTTTTTCAGTCAGACATTGGCTGCTGTACAGTAAATCGTAGAAGCTTGTTTCGGGCCTATGGACCATGGAGCTGGCAGCATTTGGTTTAAGGGTTTAGGAATCAGGGGTTTAGGTCCTAATAGGTTTTAGCCTCAACTTAAAAAATCCTAAGTCTGACTACAGGGGTTTAGGATTGGGACATTACAGCCACATACTGCCCTAAACGTTGTTTTCCAAAGCCTAAAACCCACACATGCCGTAGACCCTGAGCCCTTAATTTTGCAAACCCTAAACCCTGTACCCTAAACCCTACATGGGTAGTTGTCAACATTGGGGTCCCTTTGTGGGTACCCTAAATTTTAGGCGCCGCATGATAATAGGGATCCAACACGGGACCATAGTTTTGACAACCACCCACATATATACCCTAAATCCTAACTTTCGCAAACTCGCCCTAGACCCTGTACCCCAAGCCCGATACATATATATATATATATATATATACATATATATGTATATATATGCACCCTAAACCCTAACTTCTGCAAACTCAGGAGAGCATGTTGAGGAGCTGTTTCGTTTGAATGCGCGACTCCGGCAGCAGTGCCGACCTCGGAGCGATAAGGATTCTGAGTCACGGCTTAGGGTTCAGGGTTTAAGATTTAGGATTCAGGGTGTGTATGTATATATATATATACACATACCTATACATATATGTTTGGGGTATAGGATTGGGGGTTCAGGGGGCAAGCGTCTAGGAATCTAGGGCTAAGCAAGCATCTTGCAATCCGCGCATCTGTATTCGATGTCGGATCTGGGTTTGGAGTCGCGGATTAAGCCAGGCTGTTCAGTGGTACACTTTTTTACTTTCAGGTCTCTGGGTTCCTATTATAGAATAAGAAGCCTAAAAGAGTATATACTTTTTCCCAGCGGGATACTGAACAGACTAGATTAGAGTTTAGAACGCAAGTTCGAGATGTACTGCTCAAGTTTTCAGGAGTTAAGGAATTTCGGAGTTTTGCGAGTCAGGGGCTTAGCTTTACAGCACAGTCTTCGGCGCTTGGGGCTGGAGGTATGATTATTTTCAGAGAGAAGTTATGACAAAGGAGAGCTATTTGTTCAGAGCAAAGCCTTAAAGCCAATGCATGAACCTTGCAGCCTAGTCCCTGCACCCGAAAGCCTTCAACTCTAAACCCCAACACTCTGTAAGCTTTCTTTGCCACAGCCACAGCACAAATCTGAGCACGACTTGATAGGAGTGACCATCTTACACCAAGTTAGGTTGTGCATGCAAGCGTAGATGCAGGCAGTAGCCCAGTAACCCTGGAAGCAACAGTACTCCTGAGATTTGACGATTTACGCTGCAGACCACCACCAGCACCGTCACCACCACCACCACCACCACCACCACCACCACCACCACCACCACCACCACCACCACCACCACCACCACCACCACCACCACCACCACCACCACCACCACCACCACCACCACCACCACCACCACCCCCATACAGTACCGTAGTACTGAGGCAACATTAAGTAAAATGATGCTAGAGTAGAATCATCGTCAGCATAGTTTCGTTGGTGTCGTCGCTAGAATCGCTAGATGTTTCAACATCTCGAACAGCGGCAAGAACAATGAGCTCAATAAGGATAACTGGAACGATCTAGCAGCAGACACCCAACAACAAACAGCAGTTATCACACATCAAGCAGCATACCGCGACCAACCAACAAACCAGTACCTTCCAGTTCACCCACCCAGAACACAACAATCGTACCAATTTACGCGCAAACCAGTCAAAGAGTCAGCAGAGCTGCAAGCGAACGAAGCAAACAAATATCCGATTAAAGAGGGCGGGCATATCTACATGTAAGCAGAGGAACAAACAAGGAACCAAACGACAACAGCTGCATCCAACACATTAGCAAAAACCTAACACGCCAGCCAGCAACACACAGCAATCAGTAATTATACACTAGCAAAGAACGAACAACAAACGACATCCCCCTGTTGAATACTGTGTAGTGTCAAGCGCTTGAGAGCACGAACTCGTAACCCCTGGACCCTCGCGCCAACCCCGGAAAAGCCAAGCGAAACCTCGCAGACCTGCAGTTTTATCCCGAAGCCCGACCCGTAACCCCAGACCCAAGGAACACAAGCAGAGCCACTATTGTAGATGTCTGAGTTGTTAAATCTGGAACTAATATCCTCCAAGAGTACTGGTATAACTGTATTGACGATATACCTTACATCTCCAATGATTCAAACCCGGTATGTTCAGACACCTTCGGCCGCCGAATCCCGATGTCTCCAACACTTCCCGCTCACCTCAAAGGACTTTGGATCAGCTGGGCAAAGACGAGATGGAGAGGCCAGAGATTTCGGGCTTGGCATTTCTGGATTCGGGGTTTGTCTTCTTGGTTTGGGGATCCGGGGGTGCAAGACTTGAAGCATATCCTCGTGTTCCGAACATACACACACTCGCAGGCGTCACTCTAGTTCCCAGAGAACACAGGCTCCAGCACCCATACCCTCTGCCCAAGCAACAGACTGTACACACACGCACATGTGCATTGGTTGTGGATGCATGCTTACAGTACGTATGTGTCTATGTAATGTAAGCTCGTATGTATACCGTCCGAGAAACTCTTAACCAAACTGCTTACAGTACTCATCTAGACATAGATGAAGGTATGTATATGAGCACGTATGCATGGTGATGTGTTCGACAGCCAGCTCCAAGCTCGAATCAGAAGGTTTACCAGGCTCAAGACCTGCGTGCAGGAGGCGTTGTTGGCTCTCGGGTTTGGGGGGAGGTTTCAGGGTTTACGGCTTCAGAATTTAATTTGGTTTAAACCTTAGAGAGGAGCCCTGCAGCACAGGTGCCGTGACTACATGACCGACACCTGCGATGCCATGAAAAGGATGCTGGACAGCCAGCTGAGCCACGGTCATATTCGTGCGATCTTCTCGAGGCCCTTATATAAATCTCGCAAGCAAAGCCCCTAGCACCGGAATTCCCCAAAACGAAGCCGAATCTAAGCCGGATTCCCTGAGAGCGAGTGGAGGCTTCCAGCGCCTGCATTCGACGCACTAGACGGCAGAACATCTCAACTTCTCCCGGCAGGAAGGACAATGCTTCCACCCCAATTATCAGAATCTCAAAGCCGTAAGAGCCCCTAAAAGGACCCGAACAGTCGCATCGACATTCCCGATTGTTCAGCCCCGGAGAAACTCTGCAACTCAAGCCAGGATCCAGATATCGGAAAGCCACGGGCGGGCAAACTTTTTCGGCTGGGCTGTAAGTTCTCGGCATGTTCATCAACACAATGAGGGCGCTGATGTTGCCCCCAACAAAATGACCTGTCTCTTGCCATTTGCGCCAACTCTTCAAGAGTGAATCGCAGCCTCCATCCCAACCCCAAAACCAAGCCTTAGCCTGATCCCCAAACCTCGTCCTTAATTAAACCCTACCATGGAGGGAGCCTAAACTTTACGTCAGAACCCAAGAGAACGAGACCGTAATGAACGAATATCTAAAACGCCCTGCACAAGCTCATTTAACCAGCGCCTTGCCGCAGGACGGACTCTAAACCTTTAAGCTCTTAACCCTACCCCCTGCTTCAAGGAACCTTCCACTACAAGCCCCAAATCCAAAGACAGCAAAAGAAGGAAGGAAGGACTCTAAACCCTAAGCCCTAAACCCTTACCAAAGCCCTAAAACCCTGAGACCCTAAAAGCCGCAAACCCTAAACCCCTGAGACAGCAGAGGAAAGACCAGCAGCTCCGGGTTGCCAGCGCCGCCGAGTTGGCGGCGGACCGTGCGGCGCTCTCGTGCACGCGAATGGTGACTTGGCTGTTATGGGTCAAAGGGGTGGCTAGCCGTAATTTAATACATGAATCAATGAAATACTCAATAGTTAATACGAATCACGATACCTGAGTAATAGAAGGGTAGGAATTTCCGTGTCGTCCCCCAATAATGACAACTAGTGAGGATGTGATGCCCCCAACACTCTATGCGGTACCCCTGAGCCCTAAACCCGACACACGAGATTGCAAGATCTTAAAGCTCTGAAGCCCACACTCGTAACCCGTAATCCTGGAACCCTAATATAGGGGCCTAAATAAGTACCTACACTATTTTGCTGTTCCTTATTGTAAATATAGTATAATGGGCTCCCAAGCCGTATTCTAATCATTAAGGCCCCTGTATTGATCGAGCATTTCCGATGTCTTTCGAAGTCATGACTTGGAGATCGGACGGCAGCATGACTTCTATGACTACGTACATTGAGAAAAGCCGAAATGCCCTTCAGTACATGTTTATTGGTTCAGTGCCTGGGGTGTACCGCCCGATCAGCTGCCGTGAACATGAAAACCGAAATCTCGCCTCAAACCGACAGTTAACCAGTCGAGTTTAAGCTTCGGGCGAGCAGGTGTCAAAAGGAGCTCAAAGAAAACAATTGAGCTACTTCAGCTTGCCACAGGGAGCTTTCTTCAGTGGAGAGCCAGGGAGAAGTTGGTCCGATGTTTCCGTCACAGTGCGACGTAGGACCGAATAATCAGGGTTCCTGTGCAAAAGCGATCTTACAGGGTTCTGTAAACTACTATTTGCTTAAGAAGCCCCAAAAAATAAAAAATCAATTCCTTATGGGGGTAATATAGGGATTATGATTTTTTTTTGGGGGGGTTTCTTAAGCAAATAGTTCTAGAAGCGGTTCTCCAGGGTGTTTTGATGGTTTTGAAGGACCCAAAGAGCCTGATCATCTTTTACTTGGTTCAGAATAGTAGTCTTGGAGGTCGCGATTTGAAATTCGGGACAGTATACGATCATAGTGTACTTGGACCCTTGGGTTTCATGTTCGCCCGGTACACAAGTGTAAAGTTGGATGTATCTAATTATGCATGTATATATGTAGGTATATAACTATGTAGGTATGTATGTGTACCTAAGAGTAGTGCAGGTATAGGTGTACAGTAAGTTGTCATCCGCCTGCTTAGGGTTTCAGTGTGATAACTGTGTGGCCGGGACAACAACACACATAATACTCTTCCTCAGACAGCCCCAACACTCTAGTCTAGTGATTAAGGCCTCCCGTTATAGAACCTCTACAGTGCCCCGTATAGAACCCTTCAATAAGGACCCCATGCTACCAGTATTTTGTTAGAGGCCTCTGTATAGGCTAAAAGCAGCCCCCGGTGGGGCTCACAACTCGCTTGCAGGTCCAAGCTGAATGGCCCACTCTCAAGGACCTGTGGTTCTTCGTCTTGGCAGTATAGCTGGAAGATGTTGCCCACTCCTGGGGCTTCATACAGAAATTCGTAGCTGCTTGCAGGGATTTACAGGGTTTCATGTGGTTGAACCCCAAACCCTAAAAGGCCCTAAACCTTAAACCCAACCGTGTAGGGTTCTAGAATGCTATACTGTAGCTCTTCTTATGCTTCAGGGTTTTGCGGTTCTAGTATAGGGTTCAATGAGCCGCAAGCCCGTGCGTTCAAGCCCGCATACCTCGAACTGAACTGTATGAAAACCCCGACTGGAAATAGTATCGCTTCATCGTCCACACATGTGTACATACATATGTACGTATATATATATATATATATATATTCAGATATGCATATGCACACACGTACACGAAATGACATTATCAGGCACACCGAAGCCCTAGTCTGCTTCTTTAGTCCTTCACATTCTTGGAGTGTAAGTGCCAGCTTCTATGATACCAAGCCTGGACAGTATACGTGCCTACACAATTTGACGAGAGCTTCGGAGGCTTTACATTTGTACTATAAATCTATATTCGTGAACCCGAAAGAACGGTACAAATATTGCTATTTTTGTTGATTTGCTATTCCGGTCCTTTTGCAATATGTACCCGTTTATACGTAGAATTCGGATTTCTCAGAAGCAGAGGTTCCCTTTCCGTGACCTTGCATTAGGGGGCTCCAGCTGTTCGGTGTCTCTTACTTCCGAGCTCACCGCGCCACGAGTATCATCATCGAAATGAGCAAAAAGTAGCTACTAACGCCCAAGTCTAAGGCATCATCCTAAAACAAAGCCATGGGGCTTTTAGATCCACAGGTCAGGTTTTCGGCTGGGTTGGGGCCGAGGGCCTTTCGCATTTAGGGATGGGTGCATCGGATTTGCAAGCTTGGAGTTGCATTTCAAGGGCCTCACTAGTAAGAATAGGTAAGGGAACCTGCTTAGGAAACCTAGGGCCTTTATTAGGGTTCCTTTAAAGGGGTCTATAGAGGTTACTATAAGGGATCTATAACAAGGGTACTATAGTAATGTAGGAACCTGATTAAGAAACCTTGGGGCTTTACTAGGGTTCCTTAAATGAACCCTACTATTTTGGGGTAACAGGCCCATGGATTCTGAATCAGGTTCCCTAGATTAGGGAGTATTGCTACTCCGACCTGAGCTTAGAGCGCTTGACAGCGGGGAAGCCCAAAACCTGTTCTGCAGCGTTCCACTCCAGGAGCCTTAATCAATCTTCAGAACTGGGTTTGGGGGTATACCAAAGCCAAAGTAATCACAACTATGCCAGGGAACCCTCATGAATATTCAGCTAGTCATCCTGCACCGGTTGCAGAAACCCCGACAAAACGACGGGAGCCCATGTCCTAGAAGAGGAGATGTGGAGGATGTGGCGGCAGGAGGACTGGGTTTCGCGGTTTAGGGTTTAGGGTTTAGGGTTTGGTGTTTCAGGTTTAGGGCTTTTAGTAAATATAGGTTGAGGTTTAGGGGATCTGGATGGTCATTTTAGGGTTTAGGTCCTAGGTTGAGTTGCAAGAGTACACAACAGGGGCTTCGGACATGATAAAATTCGAAGATGCAGTGCTTGTTATGGCAGTGGTTGTCAGCGTGGGTCACGGTAACTACAGTGATCAACATCCGGTATAATATCGGGGCCGTCAACTTATATTGCATGGCCAATTAGCTGTGACCATCATGAGTGCTGTTTCTTTTCCATGCCTAGGCTGATTTTGCTAAAGACCCAGTAGTATCAAAGACCTCTGTGGGCATACACAATTTCCGGCTAGGCCTCCAGAGCCCGCGAACCCGAAGCCTCAAATGGGAGTGTCAGAAAAAGAATAGCAATCCGAGTTTCGCTCCAGAAGAACAGGGTCTTGACTCAAGATCAGCCACAACGAACCCGGATTGTAGGGTCATGGGGGTCAGGTTTATGGTCCAGATTCGAGGTTTAGGGTTTTTCAAATTCGGGACTTTGAGGACTGCAAGACAGCTCGTCATTTTGATTTTAAGGACCCTGAAAGAGAATTGAGTTCAGAGTCTTAATTCCTTGAGGCACAGCCGACTTGGTTGCAATTGAAATTCCGAAGGCTTCCGTTTCCGCGTGTGGCTTATGGTTTATGTCAGGAAAGTTTGGTAACTTCGGATGGTTTCGGTTCAGAGTTTTTCGTAAGCGCTGCTGCAATCTGTTCAAGGGTCACTGCAGGACCAGGAGCGTTGGACATCGCTGAGCTCGCAGATCGCAGAGTTGCAGAATCAGCTGCAGCAGACTTCGAAGGCCATTCCCAGCCTTTGATTTTGGGAGTTTTGATTATCATTAAAGTAAATTGGGCCCCACAACCCTATTCTGATTATTCAGGCCCCTATGTTATTCATCTGTCTGTCCTTGTGCCCACTGCTTGTAGCACCGGTGGAGCAGATGCGTACCCCGTGTAGAGAATGCTTTCCACACTACCACGGGTGTCTGTCAGACCCCACAAGTATCGAACCATAGCCCACCGTTCCAATGCGAGGAACTGCACTCCGCATCAGAGCAGCACAGATCCGATCTGTCCACGCAGCTTGCAGATGTGGAGGCACTCTCCTCTGGGTCCTTGTTAAAGAGTTTAATTCAAGCGAGCTACCGCGCCTACGCTAGAACACTTGCTTTAAATACTAGTTCATAGCTAAGTTCCAACAAGAACCTAGCAGCATCGAACTTGGAAGGTAAGGGTTGGGCTCGGGCAGTAACCAGGGACCGGTATACCGTTTTGCAGGGCTTTGGCGCTGAAGCGCGAGACTTCTGGCATCGAGATCATCGTCAGCACCGCCTCTCCCGAAACAGTTGTGCTCAACAAAGGCATTGGTCACGATCACTTCGCACCAACATCAGCACAACCGCCACCTTTGCGAGAGTATAGGTCTGGCTTCATCGCTTCCGGTGTTATCATACTCATCTACTGCGCGGTTCGAAATCCTTCACGAAGACCTCTTTCCAAGATCGCCTTACAGTCGACATTGGGATCTTCATTTGACCTGCGGCGCAGAATCAAAAAACAGGGCTCTGTGGCCATGTCGTCACCGTCGCCAAGGCGCCCGGGAACTCGAAGCTCTTCTATCCTTATCCTGAGTTGAGAAGAACCCCTCTATGCCGCACCGAAATGCTTGCATCCGGTACCGTAAACGCTGTAAGAAAAGCCACATTCCAAAGGTAGGACACGCTTGCGCTCGGAAGGCCCGGGTCATCGCGCAGATGACGGCTTCCATGAAGGAGGAGGCCTCCGGGCTTTCAGGGCCCTGGAATTAGGGTTTCGGGTTTCGGTGCCCAGAGAAAATTTAGAGAGCACATGTTTGGCGGCGGGGGGGCGGGTCTGCATTAAAACAACGATGTGGAAGGGATAGCCCGGGGATGAATTCTGACATTCTGCTGTTGCTGCGGAGTGTCCTATGTTCCAAAGACTTTGTCGGAAAGCAGCTTCCAGCCACCTTCTTGACAGCTGAAGGCCTTCGTTTATACGGCTTAGGGTTTGGAAAATGCTTACTCAGACTCTGTAGAGGCGGTGGAGAGTATCCCGTCTTGGCAAATGTAATGAGCTGCACAAAGGCACCATTATCAACGGAAAGGCTTCGTTGGACCTATTGTCATCTTCAGGCCTCAACCGTCCACCCCCAAGACCTGAAAGCCTGAAATCTGCAGTGGAAGTCAGGTCCCCGTCAACAGAAAGGAACCCTGTGACGGCCCCATCAGTCAAACCCAAAGGCACTGCAGACTTTCCATACGCGTAGCTGCTCCTTTTGGAACCGTCTGCGCTGCCTGCCATGTCTGTCGTATCCTGTCAGGCTTTTAGCTTGAGGCTAGCGTTCCACGCTTCACGAGCTAGGAAATATGCGGTTCAAGTCGAGTCCAAAGTTTAGATCAACAGCCTACTCGCAAGCATTAGCTCAAGACACCCGTGAAGATGCGTGAATTCCCTCACGATCCTAAAGGCCCTCAATGCAGTGCCTCCAAATTTAATTGTCAACACCCTAAACTCAACGTTGACCTCAAGCCGGAAAGCGGCCCTATAAATGCCCTGAACCAACGCCTCGCTCTGTCAGCTCACAGCGGCCAACGCATCGCTCTTGGGTGACTTTCCGGGTCATCTGCGCGGCCTCCAGGCTCGGGGCGGAGAGGGTTGGGTGTGGTGATCAGGGTTTAGAAGATGATCAGGGTGACGATGATCTTAAACTCATGCTCCCATACCTTGAGCTCCTGATCTAGCCTTAAAATTCGTGAACCCAACCTAAGCTTGTTTACCCCTGACTTACGAGTTTGCCTAGACTTTATACACCGAGTTGTTGACTCAAGAAGAGCATTCAAGAAACAAAGCGCCCATACAGTCCCTAGACCGCAACAAAGGAAGGAGCCAGAACACCTCGAAAAGCTCGCTATTTTGCCCGAAACTTCAAAACCCTATAAGGTTTTGGCATCTCATCAACACATTTTTGGTTTACGACTTACCAAAACAACAACACGAGGCCGAAGTCCAGACGCTCCCTGAACGCCTGGCTGCCGCCGTGGCGGCAGACGCGCCGGCGCCCGGTGCACCGGCCGAGGTCGTGGAGGAACCGCTCAGAGTTGGGCGTTTAAAGGGGCTTTCGCTAAGAGCTTCTAGGTCCCGGAGTAGGCCCTTATTCCCTTTTTTAGGGTTTAGGTTCCCTTATAACCCCCTTTAAACCAAAAAGGCCACCCTTTTTACTCCCAGGTTACTCTTAGGTCTAGGCTTTGTAAAGCCTATAAAAAATCGGCTTTTGATATACAAGCTTGAATTACTGACATATTCGGGCTCCTTATGAATGTGGTGCAGTAAGCAAACACCCTTCTAATTGTAAGTGGCTGTTACAGGTGTTTAAGCGCTTTGATGTTCGTTAATGCAATATGGAGGAGGGGGCATTGAAGGGGTCCGCGCGGCTGTTCAACGACGACAGAAGGATTGTCTGACGAGTCATCTATATTGTATGATTTTGTTGGCGCATTTGGGGCTCCAGCTTGGTTCAGGAACCCATAAAACCTCTAAACCCCAAACCCCACAACCCTACCGGCTGCCAGGCGCTTGTGGCGCAGCAGCTGGGGGGGCTCCACAAGACTCTGGAAGACGAGGCGGGTGGCGGGCGTTTAACATCCAGACAACGCAGGTCTCCCCAATCGAGGAAGATGCTCGAGCTTTTAACAAGCTTTCCGAAGGGCGCCATGCACTTGCCTACAGAATGGGTTACTCGGTACCTTACGTGGTTCGAAAGCCACTATGTAGCCAACTGGAACATGGGGTGTGACATATGGTGGGGCGGGTATCGGGCTGATATCGGTATGTCAGATGTGCCATGGGGGGATCATAAAAGCCGGCGTCCAGATTAAATCCCAAGTCCCCAGCCGTACTATGGGGGCTTGAATAGAGCGCAAGTAACAGCATGCTCCGACTATTCTACATAACCAGGCCTCGCTCTATCACTATCGAACAACTCCGGACAGCAGCATGATTCCATTCTATGTTGGCTTGGGGCGGATCGACGAGAAGCTTAGGTAGACGCTGTATTCGGGCACGAGGTCTAAGGATGTTCGCGTTTCGGGTTCATGGTGGACTATTTGGATTCGATCAGTTAGCAAATATATATATATATATATATATATATATATATATGTGTGTGTGTGTGTGTGTGCGTATATATGTATGTATATCACGTATTTGCCGTGTGTCGTGACGCTCTCTGCGAGGTGGTTCCTTGCCTCCATGGCTGTTCCTTGCAGAATCTCTCTGACAAGCTGGAGGACTCAGTGAGAGGAGAGTTTAGGGCTTCCTGTAGACCCGAAACCTTATGCTTTAAATATGCAAAAACTATGCACACTCCTGGCAACCCTGGTCAGCACTATGTGCCAATCCGACAGAAGCTCTAAGCCCCAAATCCGTAAAGCTTTGAACCCGAAAAACCCTACCTCCCCCAAATCTTCAAAGCTCCTAACCTAAACCCCAAACCCCAAACCCTTATCCTCCGCCTTTACCATCTCGCCCACGGAGGACGCGCTGCAGGTGGAGGAGATGAGACGCGAGGCGAGCGAAGTTTCTGGGATACTGTGCCGGGCGACTTTTGCGCACATGTTTGCATAGATGTCCCAATGGGCATCTAGTTTAGCATTCAGCCGAAGGCTTAGTGTTTCGCACTTGGGTCTAGGAGTCAGAGGGAAGTACTCAACCAACATTTTTTGTTTCGGCGGGGTTGGCATCCCATGGACCCCTGAGGAAAGCCTCTGGGAAATAGTTACTGACAGTACGCGCTGAAGGTCCCTATATGGTGTCACAATTAAATCCCAACATCTTGTTCTAGTCATTACGGTGAGTCATACGGGACCCCTGCACTAAACAGCACTGAACCCATTTAGTTGCCCTTATAGAACCTGACAGGCTCCTAAAAAAGGCCATCTTCTATTTATCAAGACCCCAGTTCATAGCGTTCACCCTACACCTAATTCGAGTACTTCAGGTCCCTGATTCTTCCAGACCACAAACCCTAAACGTGGATGACTCTTACTTAGCCATTGGTTGGGCCTGTGTATCTAGTCTATTTTACGAAGTTTGAACTTTTGGGGGCCCTGTTGCTGAAGACGGGAGTACATCATTTCGCACCTGAGACCTCAAGTTTCCTGAACCCCGCCCTGCTGTCGGTGCAGGTTCTGAGGTCAAGCCAGGAAGCAGAGGCCCTGGGCGTGGACTTCGGATTGACTTGGGGCCTTGGCGGTTCAGGCTGAGGGTTTTATGTTATTAATATTATCAGTAATAGTATTATTATTATCATTAATACTATCAGTAATATTATTATTACTAATATTACTATTGGTTTCAAGGGCAGTCCATGCGAGTTTCGACCGGGTGTTGTATAAGGGTCGCTTATGGGGGGGGGTTCACCAAACTAGGGGCAGCTTGTTTCGACGCCCCCTGATATCAGGATGCAAATGCAAATCGGAAACTTTCATACTTATACGCATCGTGTAAATTTCCCTGCGATTTGGTCAACACCGAATCCGATCATCAAGGTCCTAAATAATGTGTGCTTTATGCGAGCTTTGGCTTGAAGTTTCGGGATTGCAATCCAGGGGTGTAGTTTCGGGGTTCAGCATGGCTGCGGCATTGGAATTCTTGCTGATGACTTGACATGGGTGAAACAGTTCTTGACCTATGAATATTAGCACAAAAACCGAACGATGCCAAGGCCCAACCGTCCAAAGCTGCCGTAGCCTGCGACTGCGCAGGTGGCCAAGATCCATTCCCGAAATTTCGAAGGCAGTGCTCCGAACGTGCTCCGCGACATGTGAAACCTAACAAGAAGGGCGATCCTTCAGCATTTAATCATAGGATGGTGCTTTGGTGCCTGTTCTTTGTGGATGCTTCAGGGGTTTGGGCTGGCCGGTCGAGGGATTTTCTGAGTCAGGGGGCTTGGGTGATGTCAATAGGTGGTAGAGCCTAAGCCCTCAACCAGAGGATGGCCCCTTTTGTAGGCTTGTCTATAAGGAATTTAGCCCTTGCCCTGCTTCCTGCCATGCCAAGAGGCATGGTCTAAGCCCAAAGAGAGCTTTAGCTATCAGGATCTTGTTGGTGCACGGACCAGAGCTGGATTTTGGCGAGGATGGGGCAGTTTTAATACTCTATGAGACCTCCGTTTCACTCAGGGCACCCCACCAAGCCTGGGCTGGATGCGGAGCTTTTGTTGGGAGGGAAGTGGGGGATCACGGGGTCTAGGGGTCATGCAGATACACCGAAACCCAATTCACCCACTCCAGCCCTCAATTCCCAAGGCACTGCAACTGGAACTATGCCGAAAGCCCGAAAGCTCAAGGCCTGAGCTCCTAAAGCCCAAACCCTCTGTCTCTTAAGCTCAAACCTAGCCTTGACTCCTAAACCAGAGGAGCAAAGCTTCCCTAAGCTCCCCCGCCCCTAGTTGAAGCCGCAAATTCCATTCCGACAGCCCAAAAACCCAAAAAATCACGAACACACCATGCTCCACACCACGCCCATAGCGAATAAGCCCTCACTAATGCAAACAGCCCTTGCTAAACGCAGAAATCTACCTCTCACCTTTCACCTTTTTGTTTTTGCTTTTACTAAGCATCGATGCAGCCGTCATTAAACCCAAAGCCAAAAGACCTTGAACCTTAAGCCCCCCTCAACCCCGAAACCCTAAAAGCCCTTCTAAATCCCTCAGATCAACACTCAAAGGGACCCTTGGACTTTTGCTTTCTACCTGACCCCTAAACCCCTATATCCTAAAGCCCTTAACCCTGAACCCTAAAACGCCCCTGAACCCTAAACCCCTCAGAAAACAAGGAGCTTAAAAAGAAAAAAACAACCTAAGAAGCACTCTCTCTCCTTCTTTGGGCAGTCGAAATGTCGGACCTCCGCCTGGAGTTGGGTCGACTGAAGGCTGGGTCGAACTCCGGCGGATTTCGGGGTTCGGGCTTCGGATGCTTCTCAGGGTAGAAGGGGAAGGGTAGGGTAGGGTAGGTAGTAGGGTAGGGTATGGATGCTTCTTAGGGTTTAGGCTTCGGGGCGATTTAGGGTTTCGGGTGTAGGGTGGGCCTCAGGGTTTAGGGTTTGGGCTTCGGGTGCCTATTGAGAGAAGCTTCTTACAGCGTCGCTGAAAAACCCTTGCAATCTAAACATTTGTGTTACAGAAGCACCACTGGAGCACTGGAAATAATCCAAACAAAACAGCCTGTGAGTATCTTGAGTAACTACAGTCATGTCTTGAATCGTTGCAGGCATTCCCACACACTATTTCCCAAAACACCTTGATGAAAGGGGCCACATAGTCTCCTTGCGTGAATGTTTTAGCTTCGATGCGATAGGGCTATGTGAAGAGGTTTGTCAATTCTGCTGTTCTAGGGTCCGGGGGTCAAGGCCCGAAGCCACAAACCCTCAGCCGAACCCCGAATCCATGCAATCTAGCGAGTTCTGGACCCTTAATCAGCTGATCGTAAACCCTTAAGCCCTAAAACCCTAAACCCCAAGCCCTAAGCGGTCGAATGCAGAGTCGTGAAGGTCGGGAAGTGAGTCGGGCTAAGGATAGCGGAACCAACCTGCCCAACTGGGCTCTCTATGCTGTACTGCAGTATGGAAAAGGTGTTTAAAAAAAAACCTATGCTTATACCTACCCATACCTACCTATACCCCTAGTCAACTTTCGACAGAAGGTATCTGAAGCCAAAGGTCTCCTTAGTTAGTAAGTGAGAGTGAAAGAAAGAGCAGCAAGAAAACGCAGACTACATAGTAGCAATCGTACTAGTATAGTCGTCATAGTTATTCCAAAACCCACAAGCGTTACACCTTAGCTCAGTCATTTCACGCCCCGTCAATCCGCACAAGGCCGAACCGTAACGCCCAAAACCACTTAGGTGACTTAATTAGGTGTCAGGGCTTGAGAAATCCTACAGCTTTGACGCCTTAGACTAAGGCTTCAAAGCTTTTGCGTTTGGTGTGACTGTCTCCTGGAAGATGTTAGGATATTGGCCTTTCTGGCGTCTCTAGAATTGTAGTACGAACTTACTAGGCGGAATTCGGAAGCACGTTTGGGGTATGTGTGGTGTAGGGGCCTGTAGAAGACTGGATCCTGAGTGCAGGCGTCGATGCACGACACTTCGCGCCTGAAGGAGGCAAGACGGGGCCTGGAATGCTCTTCCTCTTCTCAAAGGCTCCGAGGTACTGTTATGGGCACATACTTCCCCAAATCATAATAGTAATTCCTAATGTAGAAACACTGCATTCTACTATATAGGTAATTACTTTGGACCCTCTGGGCGTGTCGACGAAGGGGTTTGGGATTCCCACGAACAAAAAGCGTCGATCCTCTTCGGGGCATATTGCACGTAGCCCCGTGATGTAGTCATGTTCCTGCAACGAACGAAGAGCTAGGCTGCAAAATATTGCTTGGGGCCCACGTCAACTGTTCAGGGAATTCCAGGGTGTTCGATTCGGGGTCTGCGTCGTCAAGCTAAAACCCGAAGCATGCAGAGTAATAAGTTCCAAAGTTTATGAACGAAGTTTGGTAACTGGAGGCTTCGGACTAGGGAGCTTTTTCGAGTACCAAATGACCCATGAAAAAAGAAGTAAACCCTCAACCCTAAACCGTAATGGGGTTCATTTCGTCGGCAGAACAAAGCAAACTTCTCCGTCGCAGGCGAGGCTAGGGCCTTTGAGTTCGAACCCAACGTCCGAGTTTAAGGCCTAAACCCTTAAGCCTTATAAACCCTAAACCCAAAATCCTAGTATAAGGAAGGCTCCCTAAAATCCGGCCAGATCGTCGAGGACGGGTCCCGGGTTCAGGATGTTTGGAAGTGTGTGACGTTTCAGGTTTTCAGGGCCTCTAGGGGCCTACAAGGACTCGGATGTTTGATGTGGGGAGTTGTCAAAATTTGGGTCCCTTTTAGGGCACCTTAAATATATTAGGTGCCGTAGTATAACGCGGACTCACAAAGGCTCCTGATATTGAAAGAACCACCCATGTGGGGTTCAGGGATTTCGAAGCACGGTCGTGGCCAGGAGGCGGAGAGGACTCTTGCCTGAAACGGAGCAGGCTCTTGGGCCATACACCACCCTAAACCGAGAATTAGCCTAAACCCTAAAACCCTAAACCGACTAAACCCTAACCTAGACTTCGGAGTTCTGAATTTCGGGTTGAGGGTTTCATGCCCTCTAGGCCAGGAGACCGAATTTGAAGCCCCAAGTCGCGAGACTTTGGCAGTTAGGGTTTCAAAGGTTCAGGGCTCCAAGCGAAAAGCCCAGGTCTTGCGGAGTGCCGTTAGGTGCCATGTACGAGATGAAACTTCACCAAGGCAAACATGATTAACCTTGTAGGTTTTGGGTGGGAGCTCGTTGTGAAATCCGAATAGTGGGGAATCGGGAAAGCCACCTGTTAGCATGAGGGAGCACTGGGGCGTGCCTTCATCACAATCTTGCCCCCATGATGCCGGCACCCCTCAGCCCCAAAAAGTTTTAAGCCCCCCCCCCCAACCCCAAAACTAAGCCCCAGACCCACCCCAAGTCCATGACGCCCGAGTCCAAATTCAATTCCCCCAGCCCCTGAGCTCCAGACTCTCACCTTCCCTAATCCTAGGCATCGGCAGAATGAGCACACGGCAACAGGAGAAAGTTTCAACATCCAAGAACACGAGCGATGAACGCAACACCCTAATGTCTAAGTTCATACCCAGAGCTCCAGCACCACTACAAGCCTTCCAAAGCATGTAGTATAAGACGGCTATTAGAGCTTTTGCAAAGTGAAGCCAGCGAATCTCAGGATTCAGCGTGAGCTCTTACAGAAGGTCCGTGAGATTGAGGGCCGCTCCCTGGCGGATATTGGCCGTTCATAGGGGCATTGGTAGGGCTACGGTATTTTCAGTCTAATCCTCTTTGTGCAGAGGGTGTTTGCCAGTCCGGGGTCTTTCGTCTGCAGTGTCGCTTGTTCTCATCACTTGTGTTTTCAATGTTACGAGATCCTACAGCAGTAGAAATCGGGGTTTACGGTTTAGGAGCTAGGCTTTCGCCCGTCGCCCCCTTGCTGCCTTTGGTGTATGGTCCCGCCTGCCTAACTACGATCAGAGCGTTAGGGCCTAGTCTGACGGTGAAGCCTGGGATCGAAGACCTCATTCCGAGAACGGTGGAATATGGTAATTACAGGTCAGGCGCTGCTGAGCTACCAGAGAAAGGCCCAGGGGTCTGTCAATCAGTTTCGACGTAGAGCAAATGTAGAGTCGTGTGTGTTTGGGTTTAGAGCGTCTCAGGGATAGGATTCCGTGGCCTGTGGTTCTTAGCCCTCATACCCTTGGCAACGCAATGCTTCAACTTTCTTTGCTGCCCTCAGGGTTGAAGATTCCCATTTTGCCGTCCATCCGTTCTGCAACGCCTTAAGTAAGGATATGAGTACCCTAAGTGGGGGGTAGAAGTAGTTATAAGTACAGTTACCTTAATTGCCTTAATTACAACCCGAGTTACGAAGTCCCATCCTGAAGCTTTGGAACCCCTACAGAGCGCCTCTAATAACCCTATAGCAGTACTAAAGCAGAGCCAGGTGGTAACCTCCAGATCGATTTGCAGCGTGCAGACCTTAGTGGGTGTCGTCGTGGCGCTAGATGCATTTCGGGCTTGATGTATGATGTATGATATGTATATATATATATATACATATGTATGGCTTCAAGGGTTTCGGGCAAGGCTTTGGGGTTGGGTGTAGCAGGCGTGTCGGGTGCAGTGCTTAGGTTGCAGGGTTGTTAGGATTACGGGTTCCGTCTTCTTTGGGTGCTATCTCTGCCCAGACGCTCAGCCACTTTGTGAACTACTGAGAAACTGAGGTAGACATTAAGCGTCCCATGACTAAGCATCTTCGTTTACATGGCTGGCAGCTGACATTTCATGACGCCGCAGTTTGGGCAGTGGAAGTCAATCTTTGGAACCTTTGCATGTTGCAGTGGCTTTGTGGGAGTTAGGTAGAGATGCAAATGTTTGTATCTTTATTTATCAGTCACGAACCTGCTGGGCCAGCTGCGCTACGCATCACATGTGTGGGAGGTATTTGGACTGCCGACTAGAGGACAGCAGCACTTGTACCAAGAATGGAGGCATACTTGCAAGGACAAGGAGTCCTAAATCATGGCTATCGCCTAAACCAGAAAGCTTTGTGGCCAGCTCCACCTTTCTTGAAGCGATGGTTTCCCCATGACGGTGTGGGGAGTGGTTCAGCTGAGCTGCAGTATCCCAAAGTAAGCAGCTCTTACTGACCCTTCAGGACCCTGGCTAAAGGGGCACTTACTAAACCTTTGTCATAGTTGGGTAACACTTCACATTTTTATGGGTACTTAAGCCCAATAAGGAATAAGCATGTACATTTTTCGCCTATCCCAACCACACTTTTCGGGTTCGGGGGCTTCTATTCCAATGCTTGGGAGCCTGCATAGCTTGCGAAGCCCTGCAAACCCATGTGCACGAGGCGGATGTGCCGAGGTGACGAAGGGGCCTCGCGACTGCACTGGCCAACGGTTGTATGGAGTAGTAGAACAGGCGTGCGAAACAGGATATCGGGTTGCTTACGAAATCTTACCGATGTTAGAGGAGAGTTCCTCATTGTTGTTAGCTTGTTCCCCAGGGCCTCCTGTCAACAGACTCGACAAGTAAACTATCTGGTGTTCAGCATATGGCTTGTTGTTGGGCTCTTGGCAGGAAGGTTGCGTATCGTTGCACGGAAACAGTCACAACCCTTGGGCCTGTGCCAAAGCATGTCGAGGATTACTGAGGCAGCAGCGCAAGACTCTCCAAGAACCAGGGTTAGCAAAGCATAGGTTTTGTTGGCTTAGGGTTCAATTTTAGAGGTGTGTGTGTGTGTGTGTGTGTGTGTTTGTTTTTTGGGCTTGAGGTCTTGGTGGCTGACCCGCCACCGATGCAAGGCCCTCACCCGGCACTGTATTTTAGCCATGTTCCCCATGGTACCTGCAAGCCCGTTTATTCGTCTTACCACTTACTAGGTAATACAGAGGGAGAGCTATATATATATATATATATATACACACATACATATATACATACATATATATTGCATCTTGCCACAAGGTTTGACTTCAAGTCGAAGAAGTCCGACGACTCGGATATCAGGTTTGCCGATGCCGCTGCAGGCTTGACATCATTGCCGGGTGGGTGCACCAGGGTGACTCTAGGGGACATTACAAGTACTCGTACTATAGGAGTGCCACTATACGGGTTAGTATAAGCGTTACTATACGGATTGCTATATGGGTTCAGAAGGGTGGGAATGGTGGTGTAGGGTTTCGCGCAGAGTGACCAGGAGATGATGCAATGAGAACGGAAGTCGTGATTTCGTGCCTCGACTACGTAGGGATTAGGTTTAGGGTCCAGCTCTGAGGCTCTTAAACTTCAGAGCTCTTGTGTGGTCTGAACTGCTGAACCTCTAATCCACAGGCAGCCGGCTTCATCGTTTCCTCTAAACCCCGAAGCTCGCTCTTCGCGCGAAACGCAGAGCCTCAAAACCCCGGAACCCCAGCCGAGGCCCTAAATCGTATAGAATCCTAGCCCTCAGCCCTGGACAGTCAAGCTGGAACTCCAAGTTCGGTGAAGCGAACAAGCAAAACGCCAAAGCAGAATATGCTGGAAAATCTGCCCCGCGCTTTGACCTTGACCAGGAGCACAATCCATGGCGGATTTGATGCAGTTGCAAGAGCTCTTGAACGTGCCAATGGTGGCTTCGCCCCATTAATCACCGGGGCGTCCTTTTCAGAGTCCCAACAGAGATCGCAGCAGGATTGCAGGATCTTGGCTTAGCCTTATTGTGATTTGAAGCTTGAGCCTCCTGCTTCCTCTGAAGCTCCACTTTGCAACAGAGTGCCTGCCTCCAAGAATTACAAGGCCCGGCGGACTCCAAACCCTGAACCCGAAGCCCTGCAGGACCCTCAAAGCTAATGTCTCGTTCTCGGAGCTGAGGTTGTGGAAGGCCTGACTGCTGTTGGGGGCGACTTGGGTTGAGGGCTTGAGGGGGTGGAACGGGGTCTAGGGGTGTCGCACGCAAGGAACATAAGACAGCTGCGGAGAGATACTCCTGTGGTGGAGCGGGGTCTTGCCAGTCGTTTCGGTTGAGGATCAGGTTTTTTTAAGGTCTCATGCTGTGGGGCCGCTGCGCAAGAAGAAGAGCCCTCAATGAGTTCCACACCCTGAACACTGACGTCGAGGCCGCCACCACCCGCATCATCATCACCATCGTCATCGCCATTTCCATCACCATCACCATAGTGGTTTATCGTCGCCGTGATTGTTCGTGCCTATCAACAGAATACCTGCGATCATTGTATCATCATCATCGCCGTCAGTACCATCAGCAACATCGACATACCAATTGTTTACCCCATCACATACCCTCTGCTCTGGCCACCTCACCCGACCCGGCGGCGGCACATGAGACCCTGAATCTGACAGATTCTGACAGTCTGTAGCCCGAAAGCCGGCCTCAGTCATCCCCAGACAGGAGAGAGCAAGCTTAACTTGCCCGTACACGTGTTCGTAGACATAGAGGTCCCGGCACCCCTTAGCTCTGGAATCTTCTCTAAGCCACAGCAAGAAGCCCTCGCAGTATTGGAATCTCTAGATCTCTTTGCACTTGGTTGGATGTTCAATTGTGTTGCTGTGTAGGGAGGGTTACAGGTGCAGCACACGTCAAATTTCATCCGCTGGCATGCAGGCCACATAAACGGCCGAGACGGCGCACGACTGCAGGTTCTGACTGACTGTCGTGCCAAACTTGTCCGAAGCAACTTGGCTGAAGAGTTGCCCTATGACGACGTACGTATTTCTTTCGCATGCAAATCTTTGATCACGCGTTGACAAGAATTGTTCCAATACCTTTAACGTTATGCACGAATACCTGTTGGGTTGTAACATGTTGCTGCTGATGGGAGCGATGATGACGGTGCTGATGATGACGATGCTGGTGAGAATGATGATGATGACGATGATGATGATGATGGCTGCCAAGGTTTGGTGCTTGAGTTCATGGTTTAGGCTAGATTCTCAGCCCTGTAATCCCTCAACAACCAAACACAAGGCTTGCTTTACTGCGGTTGGGGTTTGGGCTTCATAGTTTGGGGTTTGGAGCCTGGGTTTAGGATAAGACAGATCGGGTGCACAGGGATCCAGCCCAACCGAACCCAACCCCGACCATGAACCCGAAAACGCAAGCCCGTAAGCTTAGGCGAGCTGATCAAGAAGGGCATGCAGCCGGAATGTGTGGCTGCCAAAGGCTCGCTTCAGTCAGTGGCACGATTGTGGCGTTCGGGTTTATGGAGCGAGTGATAGGACAGCGATGTCTGCGGGACTTTTCCCAGAGTGTCACTAAATGGTGACCCGGAGTGGTACCCTGTAGATCTTTACGGCTTCAGGGCTGGTGGTGTTTTTTTTCGTTCTTAGACACGTCTGTTGTGTCGTTATGTTATGTGATCGAAGGTGGGGAAACGTTTGCGCAATAGATGCCCTGAGTCCTACACTCACGGCTTTGCTGCTGCCTACAGGCGGGGTGATTGAGATCACCGCGAGAAGGGTACGGTAAACATCCAGCCAGTCCTACTCGCCATCAAGAAAGCTTACCGCGCAATCCTTGCCGTCGTCGATTTCTAGGGTTGAGGGTTGTCGTTCTTTCCGCGCCAAGGCGAACCAGTCATGAGGTTTTTTGGATTGGGCTGTCGGGCTTGCTGCGCCATGGGTTTACCCTACACCCTGAGCCTAAACCCGCGGGATTGGGTTGTATATAGGGTTTCGGGCATAGGATCAAAGCTAGGGCAACTAAGGCCTCTAAACTAGGGTGTTAGCAGTCTGGCGGACTGCTTCGAGGGCAGCAGGTAGGGTTGCGTCATTGGGGTTATGTGAACATTGGTTGAACATAGAGCAGAAGCGTAGAATCATAGGCTACGGTATACCGTCTCATTCACAAGAGAGACTCCAAATAGGCACGGTTCGAACTGGCTTGGCCGAGCCTGCCGTAAAGAGGACAGAAACAAGTAAAGGTCACGAAAGACGGCACACGCACGCAAACACGCACACACACACATAAACACATACACACACACACGTATGTATATGTTCTTATATGTTGAGATGTGGATTCAATTTGAGATGGATGTAAGGCCTCTGATCGGACTGTGTTGTTCGCGTATTTGTTGGTAGTTCTACTCAATGCAGCTCGACAGGTTTGCCCGGCAGCAAGGGCGTGAACCGTCCATGCGTCGCCTTGCTCAGACAGACAGGCTAAAGCTGTCGGGGAGGAGGGCCATCACATTGCTTTTGACTGCACAGGTTCGAGCTCTACAGCTACTTCTATCAGCTGCCACGCGTACTTACATTTTACATACGGTCCTTGGCTGTAGGGAGTCGTAGCCTTGCATGGTTTGCGCATGCCTTCTCGCTCAACTCAGAGGCCCATCTGCACTACCCCTATATCTAAAGCCTTTCAAACTTGGTTGACGGGCTGCGGCTGCAGAAGGCCCTGCAACGTAGAGTTCACACCCGAAGCACTACAAACGGCTTGGAGTGGTAAACCGTACACCGTGTCGATGTGACATGTCCTTGATTCTCGGAGATCAAAGCTTCTTCAAGCTGCAAGCGCTATATCACTGCTTTAGGAGTTACGACAGTATACCTGCTATGCCACATGTGGGGCACCTTCTGTTCAGAAGTAAGCCTTGCCACACCATATCAAGCGCAGTTTGACGTGTAGCTCCAGTCTGCAATCCTGGACTCCCAGTAAGACCACACCTTGCACTCGCTATCTGAAAGCACCACTCCTGCTTTCGAGAACCCTATGCCATAGCACCAGCACCCTGCATCCCAATTAAAACGGTAAACCCTGACCGTCAAGCACTATCGCTATACCCTAAACCCTTTCCAAAAAACAATATATCCTGATTCGTTGAAGTTTGAAAACCGTGCGAAATTCTTGAGGACCCCATCAAAGTCTTATACTACATGAGACGACCCTACGCACAAGCGACAAGGAGCAGCAAAGCACATGAAAAGCTACTCCCAAACCTAAAGTCTTGAACCTTCTTTTCTCTGAGGTCTTGGTGCGCTTCGACTTGGGCCAGAATCGGAGGCCAGGAAACCGCAGAGGGTCCAAAAAGTTACCAGAAGGGGTTCGTATTTAAGGTTCAAGCACATGAGGGGAGATTCTGCGTATTTGTGTTAGATTCGCGATTTCTGCATTCGTTAGTCCCTCGCGAGGCACTCCGCACACGCAACTCTGAAGTGTGGCAGACACTTGCATGTGGGTTCCTAGCATACCAACAGCCCAGTTTCATCTCCGCCAGAAATTGCCACCATCTCACGGAGGAACGACAGAGCAACATCTTCCCACGTACGCTGTTAATATTCAAAACTGAAGCAGCACTTATCTTATTGGCTGTATACTCAACTTTTCAACTATTGGGGTTCTTATAAGGTAGTCGTTTCTGAAAGTTTCAACTTTTGTCACAACTACTCCAGAGGATCATATGGGGTTCAGCAAATGAACCATGTAGGCATACCATGCGGCTTGTACGACCACCCACAAATTTCCCTCAACCCCTCACCCTCGACTCCTAATCCGTTAGACCGCCTTCTCTGCAGGCTCCAGGCAAGAATGGGTTCCTGGGTGTTGGTTTCCGATCGTGTTTAAGGGGCTTCGGGGCTTGAAGCTTCAGGGTCAACTCATGTCGGCTCTTGTCTGCAGCCCGAAGCCCAAAAGCCAGAAAGACTAAGCCTGAAGCGATCAAACCCGGCACCAAGCCGTAAACCCAAGACGAGTTCCAAACTCAAACCCCTCGACATCAAACCCTGAACTTTTAAGCCTTCAAGCCCGCAGATGGTAGAAACAGATCGTTTACAAAAGGCTAGAGGTTGGGAACCTTGACATCCAAGCCTGCAGGGGCCCGATTCTTCAGGTGGTCTGGGGGTTTCTCAGGCTCTTGGTTTAGGGTTTACAGTTTTAGGGTTTAGAGCGACCTTGAAGGTTGGAGAAAGTCCGGCCCTGCGACAGGTGATCTGCCAGACCATCATGGCCGAACGCATCTTTATCATAGGGTCTTGGGCTTGGGTCTACCCACGGCCCGAGTCAACTCACTGCGAATTTAACGATGTAGATCCGATGTTTGGCATGGTTTGTAGAGGCATGCTTGCCGGCGAAAACCGCTGGCTGCTTGCATGTTTAGGGCGACTGAGACTTAGTTGCCAGATTTAGAGGGCCACGATCGGCTGGTCATATGTACAGCTTGGCATGTCTTTGCAAGCTTCTTGCCTGTCTTGAGCCATGACACTCACGCACTGGGGCTATACCCTCTTTTTTATAGGTCTATAACGATCGCGAAGCCTAGTCGGAAGTGCCAAACCCCCCAAACTAACCCTAAACCCTTACACCCCTTCAACCGAAAAACCCTAAAACGGCCGTGGGTGGTAACACAGCCTAAGACGGGCAAGGCTCGATCTGAGCTTCCGCAGACACACAGTGCAAGATGATTGCTACTTGTTGCTACCAGTCCCTATAGGGCTCCAGTTACCTGAACAGTAGGCGTGTCACCTCAAAAGGGGACAAAAAATCTATGTAGCCGGTAGGGACTCTACTGCATCGACACGGGGTGCTTACTTCTGCAACAGATCGCGATGATTTCACACATGCCCCGAGGTCTTTAATCTGCACTCAAGCAAGGCTCTTGAACTCCCCTAAACAGGAAACTCTGAAGCCAGTGGTCTCTTCCTGTTCCGTGAGGCCCTAATTGCACTTCTTTGCTCGCATCCCGAAGAGTTCAATCTTCAGCCTGAACAGCCTCAAAATCCATTCAGAACAATGATCCTCGCAAAATCTAGGGGCCTTTATCGTTAGATGAGGGTTTTGGGGTATAGTATCGTGTAATTAGATTGATGTACCCTAAGGAACAGTACTATTGGTCATCATTCCGGCCTCTAAACCCTAAACCCTCAAACCCTAAGTTGGAGCCCCAGAAGTTGACGCCTTAAGTTTTAAGCCTGGTTCCGATCACTCCAAACCCTAAGGGTCCATGTATTCAACTAGTATATACATGGGCCTTAGAGTCGTCCCTGTATCGGTACATGGACCCTTATACCCCAAGCGCTTGTAGCACCGTTAAGGGAACCCTTATGGTATCTTATGGTATACCCTTAAGGGAATCCTCAAGGGAAGCCTATTTGGATACATGGACCCTTAGGGAAACTCTGCCCCCAAGAGACCCAAGCTCTACGGAGCACTACCATAGTCTTACGGCTTAGAATGCTTAGAGGTTAGGATTCGGATTAGAAAATTTATGTGGGGTTCAGGATTTAGGACTTGGCTTTGCAAGAAGGATGTAGGCAATGCCAGTTGGCATAGCAGCCTGTCAGCCAGGTGATGCCCGGCGTGAGAGGGCCCTTCTTCGACGTGCTTATGGAGGCTGAGTACTTAGCCTTGAACCCTCTAGGGCTGTACATAAGGGAAGCGCAACATAAGAGACTGACCTCGCCTGGGCTAGGATACTCAGCCTTAGAGTGTATCTGCAAGATAAGACTATATATATAAGATGTTGAGGCGGGCTTGTTGAGAGGCCTAGAGTGGTGTTTTGGGTTGCTCGTTTGGGGTGTAGGGCCCATTATCGTTCCGCTGGGATTCAGGAAGAGTCTAGGCTAAGCCAGTTGCATGAAGTTCTGTACATTCAAGATGGCACGCCAGACTTTCGACCGCCGGAAAAAGACTCCGCTCCACTTTGCTGTTTTCAGTCAACCTGTCACAGCAACAATGCAGCACAAGCTGAGGGTGATTTAACTTCGGTGGGGGTCTTGCGCTGCTTTTGTAGAATGATGTTGCTTGTGTCCACGCGATTTAATTTTGACTAAGTTCTGACTCGACGAAGTTGATCTAGTTCGCGCACAGCGCATATCGTTTGGGAACATGCCTCCCGTGTTTCGGTTGTTCGTACCGAGGAGGTAGAAGCTTGTCCAGATCAGGGTCGACGATATTTGACGAAAGCTGCTGCAACCTCTATACTGGTCATGGAAGGGAGCACCATGTCCACAGCACGCCGACAACATTTGTGAGCCGCAAGAAGACACCGCGAGCGCGTTTAGCACAGAATCATGTGCGCAACTAGAACACGACGACGACGGCACGTTGTGACCGTAACTTGTCTCTCGTCTTCGATGGACATGAAGAAGCGCCAGCGATCCCTTCCATCATGTTCTCGCAAACTGCGTTCAGGCCTCTGTCTGCGACTAGAATCGCGCTTCTTAGCTACCAAAATCTGACAGATAGCAAATGGCGACTATCGGTAAGTACGGGCTTTTGATTGTTATTCAGTACGAGTGCTGCTCATGGCTGCTTCTTTCTCTCCTGTCTCGTGTCGCGGCTTTGTCATCTCGGTACACCGAATAACTTGTTGCGAACATTCTGGTCGAGTCGAATTTCTTTCATGATTATTGACAGCATCATGTTGCTCAAAAACAGAATACATTTCTTCGTGCCAGTACAGCAGGCGGCAGTAGACTCAGTAGACAGAATGGAAATGATTTGGTCAAGGCTGCCTTAACGAGCGCGCCTTGTGCAAGTCGGGGGAGTCGCATTTTGCGAGTGCTGTGCGGAGTGTCATGCAGCAGGTCATTCCATCTGCCACGCGATTTGCAGCACCGTATCGTGCCTTCGAATCCAAGTCCCATTATTCTCTGTCAGGCGAATTTGCAAACGATTGCTCACTGATGGGGAACCATGATCCGGGGGGTTCTTTTGCGGTAGGTTCTAAATGCTATCATGGTCAGATTGTGTTTGAAGAAGCTCGGCGTGGGTCTTCGTTTTGCAGCTTCAATGCTAATTATCCTTGTTGAGAACTTGGTTTGCTAGCCTGTTGATGCAGACAGCGCCCTTTGCCGCTGCAGCAAGCCCATCAGGCTTCCGCCGGCGTGCACTGACCTGCCGTGCAGATGACTCGGGTATGCCACGGGCTTCCAAGTGCTGGTCACGGCTTGCACCGCACGCCTCGTTCCAGCGATCCCCCTTTGCGATCCTTTTCGGAGCCGAGCACGAGGAGCCGCCCGCCGCTCGGCATCCCTCAGCATGGCGCGGTCGTGTGATTTCCTGTTCGGGTCAGCGGCGACATTCGCATTGCAGCACAGATCTGCTCCCACAGGCGTGGACCGCCAGATCAGGTCAAGGCGGCGTTTGTTGTTCGGGCTGCCAGTGCTTGGAAAATCACTGTTGTTGCGGGACCACCTGACCGTTATGCTATGTTATGTTCAACGGCTTCGCGCGCGACCCTTCACCCATGCACGTTCGACGATGTTTGCGCGGTGCGCCAGCAACTCAGTGCGTGGGCAGGCCATCGCACGATCGCCGAGCTCATCCACGAGCCTTCCACATCCGGGAGATGGGCCGCGACCATCTTCGTGAAGTGGGAGCGAGAGGCGCAAACATAAGGCGAGCTGCATTGCTTGCGGCTGCTGGTATGGCTGTCGACCAAGCCCCCGCTTGAGGCCCACCTCGGCAACACAGGCGCGTGGTGGCAAGGTTGGCACTAGCGCGCGCCAGCGGACCCGTAAATCCGACTGCCATTCCAGGATATTCCAGGACAGAAAGGAGATCGGGCGCGACGGACTTGAGCGCCATCAAAACAAGCTGCGCGAGATGCTGTCGTAGGCATTGTGCTCATCCAGCGACACCGATACCAGCACCATGCATAGGTCCGTCAAAGGGCACAATAATAAGGACATGCGACGCCGGCAGAACATGTCGCCTTTCGTTGTGCCACGCGCCCCCCTTCTGGTTTGTTGGGAGCAGTGAGGCAAGCACGTTCGCTAAAAGGTTGTTCCAACGTAAGTGCAAAGTTTTAATGTCATGATTGCCTAGTTTTCGACTTATTCTTCCATTACATCGTGGTCGTACGATAACGATTACATACGATTACTATTGCGTCTATTACTACGACGACGAGTACTACGGCTAACATAATTAGTGCAGCACCACCACCACCACGACGACGAGGACGACGACTGCGACTACGACTACGACTACTAGTACCACTACTACTACTACTACTACTACTACTACTACTACTACTACTACTACTACTACTACTACTACTACTACGACTACGACGACGACGACGACTACGACGACGACGACTACTACTACTACTACTAGTATTACGAAAAATACGACTACGACTACGACTACGACGACGACGACGACGACGACTACTACTACTACTACTACTACTACTACTACTACTACTACTACTACTACTACTACTACTACTACTGACTACTACTACTACTACTACTACTACTACTACTACTACTACTACTACTACTACTACTACTACTACTACTACTACTACTACTACTACTACTTAGTAGGACTATGACTATGACTATAACTATAACTACTACTACTACTACTACTACTACTACTACTACTACTACTACTACTGCTACTACTACTACTACTACAGTATTATAAGAATGCGATCAGCTTACATGCCCCTCTCTCTGTCTGGGGGAAGGACAAATTGTGCAATGTAGGGCCATGTCGCAGCAAGCTACGTGCAAGCTTTTGGTCTAGTCTAGAGAACGGTTGGGCGGCCACAGGGCATTGGATTGGCAAGCAAACATCCGACTTCCGGCCTCGTTTCCGGGACCGTTTTCCGGGCAGCTTTCTTAATGCCAGCAGTAGCAAGGTCACCAGTTTACGGGCCGTGCCGCGGGCCGAGTTTTGGACTCACGGAAACTCCGTATTTTGGGAACCACAATGTCGGCACCAATCATTCAAACTACTTGTCGGGCTGCTTTGTGTTCCCATCCTTGCGACCAGATTTGCTTCCCGTGTTGGGGTTCCGGTTTCAGAGTCGCTTTGCGGACCCCCAAATTGGACCAACGTACATTCAGGGCAGTTTATCATGAAGCTGGCTTGGTGTCCGGAATCTGGGCCTGCAAGCTGGGCCGAAAACCCTGACAAAAAGCTGCTTAACGGTCTCGACGTTGGTTGTGCCCGGCTCCCTTTCAATGGTTG